CCCTCGCAAGCCTCCAAACTTAGTGTCTAGACTGCCAGGCACAGACGCACTGCTTCTGAGGCCGAAGTAAAATTCCAGCTGCTCTGTTCTGGTAAAACAGACTCTGCCTAGGAGAAAGTTGGCTGTACCACAATGAGGTTTGGGCAGGAAGAAGGGAAGTTTCCAAGCGATCTCAGGGCACAGGTTGTGAGCAGGGTTCCAGTATACTCCTGAGAATAGTTCTGGTCTGCTTCTCGAGGGCAGTGAGCTGACGAAGCCCCAGAGAAGCATCTCAAGCATGTAACATTATAGTAGCCCTACTGTAGTCCTTGTCATCTGACTAAGTGTGGTCTAAAGCATAAGACCTTTGAGCTGAAGAGAGCAAAGCAGCCCAGAACAAATTTGCAGAAATCCCCTCTGTTCCTCACCAAAATGAGCCTCTTACCTGGTGAGATCTGCAAACTATGCTGGAAATCCAACAATGCTTCTTTGTGCTGCCTCATCTCCAGGAACTGTGTACCTCGCCCAATGAGAGAGAGCAACCTGATCTTCTGGAGCACCTCCACCTCTGGCAGGAGATTTTCTGGCACAGAAAGACACACACACCTGTAGACAGCTTCCTCCAGACATTCCCTCCCTTGTCCCAGGTAGGCTGAACCAGGTTAGCACACAGCTAACAGGCAACTACTCTCAGGAGCCAGGACACAGACCCCAGTGCAGCCAGGCCCCACACACATCCAAGCTGTGCAACATCCTACCTGTTGCTTCAACACTAGACCTGTAAATCTGGACTCGCAGGAGATCACCAAGGCACCTGCAGATATAAGGACAGAAGAGTTTTCGGTACCAACTCCTGAGCTGGGAAGCCAGCTGCAAGTTGTCAGGCCAGCCCTTGCTAGCCATTGCTGCTTGCTGGGGAGGGCCCTTCTCCCAGCAGGGCTTCCTGACCTGCTGAATTGTGTTACGGCCTCCTTGGTCTTGCCCAGCTTTGCCCATGCCCAGCCTTGGTGCAGGTATGCAGCTGATCTCCACGCAAGGCAGCAGAGACTCTCCTTCTGGGACAGCCCTGCCCCTGGCGATGGGCACTCTGGCTCCTCTGGCCTCTCCTCCACTCGTAACATCCTTGGGATCAGGTCAGTTGTCCGGCTGATGACCTCCTTGCAGACAGCTATTGCGTCCTCGTGCCTCCCGGCCTGCTCCAAGGTGGACGCTGCTTCCAGGAACACCTCAGGGATCCTGGGCAGAACTGAGCTGCCATTTAGAGGCACCTGGGGAAAAAAAGTGTTGGCAGCACTCAGACACAGAACTGCAGGGTGTCTAGCCAAGCAGTATGGCCCTGTGCTTACTGGGAATCCAGCAAATGTCTGACCTGCTCTCACAGACTGTGGAGCCTGACAAAGGAGGCTGAAGCTGTGAAGCACTAACAGCTCAGCAGAGTCGAAGTGGCAAATCCCTACTCTTCATGTGATGGATATCCAAATCTAGGCCAACAGCTGTTCCCCTCAGAGAAGGGGAAACCACTTCCCCAGATAGTGGTGGCAAGTGGTCTCTGGTATGAATCCAAAGCAGATATGCCACACGTGTGAACCACCAGTCCTCACCTTGTCTCCTTCACATCTCAAACTAGACACTGAAACCTGGAGTCCGGCAGTGGTATCTGGCCCCATGCCTTGGGATGGGGATCCAAACCTCACCTACCAAGTCAACAACAGAGCCCTTCACGAGGGCACCTACCTGCTGCTGCAGCCCCTCCTGAAGCAGAGCCAGAAAATCCAGATAATGTTCCGCTGCATCAGCCACCCTGCAACAGGAACAGGATGTGCAGTGGAAGGAGCAGAGGGACCCCAGCAAGTGCCAGCAGCCAGGCCAAACCAGGATCGCCAGCCCACAGACTCTCCCTGCCCCACGCTCATTCTGGTCATGACACCCAAGCTTTGGGCAGACGTACAACAGCAGTAGTGAACTGGACGACTTCCAGGAGCACAGAGAAAACTACAGAGCGCAAACAAGCAGTGTGCTGCAAGCAGACAAATGGCACTGTTACCTCCCATCCTGGAGACACCGCTGTGCCAGCAGGTACTTCACTTCAGAGGGGTGGTGATCGGGAAGGAAAAAAGCTAGTAATGGTGTGTGGACAAGAAGCTCGGTTCGGATTAAGAAATACGGACTAGAGGAAGCAGCTGCTGGAGGTTTTTTTCCCAGAGCCTGTGAAACAGGAACAGAAAATAAGGCCAACACAATGCTGGTCAAGTCCTGAGCAGCTGCAGTCACTGCCTCTTCTGGCATCTAGAGATGCACCCAGACAAGCAGAACTGCACAAGTGCATTGTGTTCTCACTTGCTACAGCACAGCTGCTTCCAGGAAAAGCAACCAGGATCACACAGGGACAGGCAGACTTCTGATCTCCACGTGGCATGAGGAGATTTGCAAGATCACCCAGATCACCCCAGTTTTTTAGTTCAAGGTGCTCTCAGCTGTCTGGAGTACCATCTTCCATTGCAGCCGCAGACCTAGTTAGTCCAGATCTTGGGCCATTCACAACAAAAGATCCCTCTCCACAGCCGTGTTTGTATCTTATGGATTTCAAACAACTGAAGAGCTAACTCAGTGTCTACTGCTGTGATCGGCTCCTCCTAGGCAGACCAAGGTTGCTATGGCTAATGCAAACCCCCTCACACCCCTTTTAAAGGCATCTTTACTATTAGATACTTCATAAGAGACTGATTTTCTGACATGAGAGTGTAACCTCTTCTCCCAAGCCACCAAGAACATGAATTTGACCCAAAGGTCTTGCCACATCCAACTGCCAAGTGCTGAGCAGGAATTTCAGATCTCACTTGCCTCTTCCTGCCCACTGCTGAAAGCAGCGCCATGGCTGGATTGCTGTAATCTACTTGGGGACCTTTCCAGGATCAAACTGCTCCCTCAGAAGGCAGGAGCCTTCTGTGCAGGCTCTGCTGGACAAAAACCAACCCAAAACTACAGACAGGAGACAAACCTCGTATAGCAGAGCCAGGGCCTGCAGCTCCGCATCAGTCTCCTCCAGCTCGTGGTACACCGCTGCTGCGTGGAACAGGGCAGGGAAGCACTGGAAGTCTACCTGGAGGGCCCGTTTCAGGTGCTGAAGGGCTGTCTGAGGCTTGCCCTAGTAGTTAGATGGGAAGAGGTCCAAGTTGCAAGGATATCTTGTTGACATCTTCACTGTTTGGTGGAATCCAGATCCCTGCTCTGCTTCACCAGCAACTCCCACTAAAAAAGGGCAAGGTTTTAGACAAAGGCAGCCCTCCTCAGGCTGTTTTTTGAGCTTCTTTCTCTTTCTGCAGCAACCCTTTGCACCCAGCCTGGAATTTCACAGCTGTCCAAGGAGCCTGAGGCCACAAGGGCACCACAAGGGCAACTTCTGCTCAAGACCTGGTCTTCCTGCAGCAGCCTAGGACCATGCAGAGTCAGTGTGGACATCAGCCTGAGCCTTCCCACCCCACTCTAGGCTGCATTTCCCCTCTCCTCAGTGACACAGGGGAGGCTTGGCCATTACCATTCGCTGAGCACAGCAGCCAAGGCAGGTGTAGATCTGGGCCAGGACCCTCTTGGAGCAGAATCCTCCCGCAGCCTCTTGAAGGAAGGAGAGGGCAGTGGGGAAGTTCCCAGCCTCCAGCTCCTGCAGTCCTAGGAGGGACCCAACATCTCAGATCTGTGTCTCCCCTTCTGCCCCAGCCTCATCCCCAAATAAGCATACGTGCCCTTTTCTTGTGTCCTGGGTTTGAGCTAAAACCCAGT